AAAAAAAAAAAAAAAAAAAAAAAAAAAAAAAAAAAAAAAAAAAAAAAATCATTATTCCTCGATACATATATTATATTACATAATATTATGATTTCCCAACTTGTCCCCCTCTAACTAACCTTCAGCCCGGTCGTGCACTCGAGATGTCGCGCCGAGTCATCGGGCAGATTGCTAAACTCGCCCACGAGTTCTCCGGTAGCGATGTCGCGCGCCAGGACGATGAAGCCCTCGTACCCGTAACCCTCGGGGCTACCGAGGATCAGCCGTATCCTGCCCTGGCCCCTGGACGGCAGCAGCTGGTACGGTGCATTCGACTCTTGCGGCAGCTTGTCCTTGTGCAGGGGCGTCATGGTGTCGCAGGTGGAGAGCGGCGCTCCGCTCGGGGAGCCCTGGCTCGGCCTTGCCGTGAGCGCCAGGAGCAGCCAGGAGCAGCCCAAGGCCAAGCTGACTTTTGGCTTCATTGCGGTTCTTTTTGCTGCGAGAAAAGAAAGACCAAAAAAAAAACGAGTTGTTATTTTCTATTGTGGTCGAGTGTGTCCAGGAGCGAAAGCTTAACTGTACGCTCGCAATGGGAAAAGTGCTGTTTTCTCTTGGATTTCTTTATTAGCCATCACGAATGAAACGTGTAATGTATGTTATATCGAGTTCGAGCCGACTGTGATGCACGAGTGCAAAGTTATCGCTCCTCAACAACGTATGCCCGTGCAATAATATGGTCCTTCCGTAATTGGAAGTAACGGCGTGGCATTACGAGTACCTTTGTGAAACAATATGGGGGTTCAAGCGTCGGTAATGAAACCGATGGAGCGCCACGTAGGCGTACAAGCGGGACGATGGCCTTGGCCGGTTCGCTTGGAAAGTGTTGACGTGAATGCTTACGAAGCATCGTGCACAGGAATGTGTTTTTCGCCATGGGATGAAAGGCAAAAAGATATACTAATGGGCAACGAAAAGGTCGATCGCGCTGTGCAGCCTCGCGGTGTTTATTCTGGTGATACGATATACTAGAGAGAGAGAGAGAGAGAGTCATCGATGAGTTATCTCTATTGGGTTGATCGGGCGTGACGTTATCGGAGCGTCCAACACCGGTGTATGCGTCGAATCTCAAAATCTCATAAGTGCATGATAGATGCACGTGATCGGCATACGACCGAGTTCAACGATTATGTCGTCGATTGTGGCGATTTTGAGGATCCCACGCTACCGGGACATACTTAATTGAGCCTCGTTTTGGGAGGATTTTTATTTTTATTTTCCACCAACACCTGTGAAATAGCATCAACGACAATGATCGGTAATTATGTACGGCGCGTTCGGGCTCGAAAACGCAATTATAACGTCCAAAGGAGGGAAATCGGTCCTTCAATTACCACCGCGTTTGCTTGTGTATACAAAGACGTTACAAGTTCACCTCCTCGTATAACATAATATATAACATGTTATTCATGTACGGGAAAATAAACGGAACTCGGCAGACGGAAATCTGTTAATAAATACACTTACCGAGCCACGCATAGTTTCCAACACGGGGGGAAATTTTTTTTTTCTCTGTATCCAACGACACAGTCGGACAGAATACAAACGAAACGTACTTCCCTGGTGAGAAAAGAAGCATCAGGTACGTGTGAGAATAAAACACGCACTTGGAAACGCACCGCACAGTCGTTTGCTGATTTCTTTGCTCTATTTTTTTTCACTCTCTGGTATGTATATATGTATACCATAAGGAAGCTTGCGCTTGACCTGAAAATCCTATTAACTCGCCTCGGCTCTCTTTCTCTTTCAGCACACGAGAGCTCTAAACCACATGCTAATGCGCGAGCATCGGCGGCACTACTTGTACGTGTATACCATTTGTAACGTGCACCGCTGCACTTTTGCTCGTTGTGTTCTTTTAAGCACTACCATGCGCTATCCTTTTCTCTTCGAATTGTCATTCGTGTGTGTATGTGTTTCTTTTTTTTTTTTTGCGGCTATACCACGACTTTTTTATCCGTCCAGATAAATTATCCAAAGCGCGTCAAATGTACTCGCCCTGTCTGCATCGCTTGTACGTTTTACACGTATTTGGCGTAGCGTCGTCCTTTTATGATATTTTCTGATCTCTCTTTTTAATTTATGTGAAGCCAAAGGAAATACCTTTGAAGTAGCTTCTTTGAAATAGGTGTTTCATGGCCTGTTTGAAAAAAAAAAAGAAAATTTTGACTGCGGTGCAAAAGTTACTATAAATCAATTTAAATCTTTTTTTTTTTTAATGACACGTCTGTTCAGTCATACTTTGAGTCTAATTTTTTTTCAACAAATCAAGGATAAATCGACTAAATAAGTTTCATGCATATACGACACTTTGTAAAAAAACGTCAGATAATCACAATGACGTACGGTATTTATTTAGCCGTACATTGAAGCGACATTCATTTGAAGCAAAAAATGAAACAAAATAGAGAGAAATCCTCATTCGCAAAGAGCCGCGGCGACTAAAAACATTTCCACGTGGAAATCAATTTAATGAGATGGTTAAAGCACGAAGTAGCCCCTGTCTAACTCACACATGTTACATAAACACCGAGCCCGTCCAAATCCGAGTTTATACGCACGGTCGGATGAGCCCTTGTAGCCGCGGAGCACGCCAGCGACGATCTTTAATAAATCACGAGTGACTAGCAGCTTAGAGCTCTCGTTTCCAGTTCGCCGGGAAAGCCGACCTTGCCTGGATTCAACGCTGACCGCGATATTTCTTGCCGCCTGTGTTTTTACGCTCACATAAATATAGACGCCACGTATATATACCCGTATATACAATATACCCGTCGAGTTTTCCCTCGCGGTTGCCTTACACGCGCACACCCTGCCGCACAAATGTTAAATGCGCAGCCGATTTTTCATTGGAATACCATTAGGATCATTACGTCTTTGTCCATGTATATATAATATACGTACACACTTGGATGAAAGGACGATTTTAATTGCATCTGCTCTTACGTGGCGGCAAACCCGATCTGCGCGACCGACCGATATAACTCGTATCGCCGTATCATCGAGAAATAAAGTAAAGATACGCCAATGGACTATATAAGCATTAGTTTCCACTTTGTAGCAGGATAATATTTGTCACCTCTTTTCTCCAAATTCCGCTGATTTGCTCACTACGCGGTCTCGAGTCAACGTTTGCCAATCAACTACATGCACATGATTATAAAAGCTTAGGAATATTCATCACCAGCGACATACCTCATCACGTATAATATATGTATGCATGTACAACAAATTAACTCGCTCGCTCGAAAGGATGACTCGGCGCTCCAGACGCGCGTATATGTACGATTCTATATCGGTTGCACGCGTACGTGTACACATCCTCGAAAACGTGTACGTAACAAAGATGAGAAACGCGTAGCGACGGAATGGGTTCGCGTGTACGCATGTATATAGATGGATAGCGATATAAATCGCTAACGAAGTCTCGGCTTTCTGAATCAGCAGTGGCGCGCGGGTTATCGAAGGTCCTTTTTTCCAGAGAGAGATGACGCATCCGCGTGTATATGTATATAGGTGATTGACGGATACAGCCGAGGTCTCGGGATGTTGTAGTATTTCATCCTTGTTTTTTTTTTCTTCCCTCCCCTCACCGTGTATACACGTTTAATTGGTCATTGGTGCGTATAAATCGGTAAATGGTCGGTGACGCGTTATACAAACGTCTCGATTGCGCAACAATTGTGCCGCTTATTGCTCAGTACTTTGGCATCTGCAGGAGTCGCCGAAGAATTCATTCGAGCTTCGACCGCACACCCGATGAGCGTATAATATATTATATAGCTGTAGAGAAATGAGACCAGGTGACGTCCGGAGACGACCAACTCCAATTGCAAAGCCAAACGTGCAATCAGACTTTGACATTGGCTCACTTTTGTCCATTGTGTCCGCCACACTCGCGCCCTTACGTATAACGTATAAATAGGTATACCTGTAAGTATTGTGAGCTCATAATGCGCAAGTCGCCGAAATTCGATCGGCATCGGTGGAGGCTTTAAGTTAATGGGCCATCAGTGGGGGAGGAGCACAGAGACACGTCACCCGCTCGCGAACCGATCGAAAGAATTGATGAATTTTTAATGCTCCTGCAGCTCATGATGATGATGGTGCGGAGATTAATGGAATTTAAATGTTCGGTGCGTGGTTAACTCCTTTTTTCTTTTTTCTTTTTTTTTTTTCCTTCGCGAGTGCATTGGTGTGGGATATATCGTGCTAATGAAATTTTCAATCGCTCGAAAGAGAGGGATAATGGCTTTTTTTTTAATATCGAGTGGCGCGCGTACAGTTGGCGAAACTGCAGCGCTTGGTGATTATTCGTAATTCTCGATACGACACGCGTCCTGCCTACGAGTTTGTCGACTTGGCGCTGTAATAAATCGTCGAATGGAAAATTGATTGTTTCGTTGAAAGGAGTAATGCTTGCCAAGAGGGATTTTTTTTTTTTTCAATCGGTATTATTTTTACATTAGGTTAATCCAAGTGCATTATGGTTACGTTATTATTTCACTATTGCAATTAAATATCCTGAAAAAACAATACTAACCCCTTTTTTTTTCTTTTTTGTTTCAGGGTCCAATACTTAAAAATTATTCATCCCGAACATGGCCTGTGGTAAGTACACGTAACTCATAAATAATTACAACTGTATATTGATACTCGAAAATAAGGACACGTTGATGAATTCATCCGTATGGTTATTCAGTTTCAAGTTATTTTTCCCCGTTTAAATGTACGAATGATGTCGAAATCACGATTATTTTCAAAGCGACATTTCATACCCAGTCATTTCAAATTCATGCCCCACTGGTGGAATGAATTTGAAATAATCACGAAGGCATCCCCGACAGAGCTCCATCCCGATACGCCTTCCAAATCATTACGCATATTTGCAGATTCTGCTTTTGTGCCCGATAATATGCCCTCCAACCCTGAATTTCATCGCAGCCACGAGCACAAAATATCCTATTTCCCTCGCTATGACATCGACTCTACCCTCCCTCCAGTTGTACTGGTCCGTTTCACGAGGAGTGAGAGGAAAAAGGGGACGAAAAAGGTCGCCCGAAATCATTTTTCCCCTCCATAGAGTCGTCGATTTTTTTCTCAAACGCTGACGCGACGTTCGATAGCGTCCGATGGCACGTGACACTAATTGTCCGACTCGATGAAAATTTATTACAACTCGGGCTATCCTGTCGACGCACCGCAAAATGATTGTCCGCTGTTTTTGACGTTTTATCGACGCGAATCACTAGCTTCGTTATCGAACCAAATGAGCGTCAGCTACAGGTATGTACCCTGTATATACGTTGCACGTCAAACTCGAATCGAGGTGCTTTTTTCCAGACTCGACTCGGCGAATATTATATGATTTTTCCCGTGGGATCATTACAGTACCGATGACGCTGGCACGATGGGAACGCCAGCTCTTTATTGCTTTCG